TCATTTCCGTGTACACCACAATGGCTAGGAATCCATTCTAAGTGTATGTGTTTTCCTTGATACGATAATTTTGTACTTAATGTAATAATTTCAGTTACAAATGTAATATCTTTTTCATCCTTTATGGCGAGCAGGGCGCTTACGGAATCACAAAAAATAACAATGCCAACATACACATTAATGTTCTCTAGCCAATTAAGCGCAAGGACAATTGCAGCCAATTCGGCTCTGAAAGATGAGGTGTGATCCGCCAATCGTTTGGCTTGTTGAAAGGAGAATGCTGGTACATAAAAAGAAGCAGAACTTATTCCAAAACTTGGAACCTTTGACCCATCTGTATAGATGTGTAGTTGTATTGGCCATTTGGTACTGATCAATTCTAAACTGCGTTGACGTAAATAAGATGGGTTTTCATGTTTGTTCACTATTTCGCTTAATTCTATCGACACTTTTGGAGCATTAATTTTCCAAGGGGGGAAACTAGGTATAGTGTAAGGTTCGATAGTACAATGTTTCATTAGTTCTGTTCTGCATCCAAATGGCTTGTTATTCTTTTGGAGCTTCAAAAGTTCCATTTGCCAGCTGGGCTTAACGTTTAATATGACAGGGTGATCTCGATGCATTTCAATCTTTTGTCTGAATCTGTCCGCCAGCATCTGTCTTCTTAAGTCTAAGGGCATTTCACCTAGTTCAACTTGTAGTGAATCTAATGATGTAAGAGGAAGAGCTCCCGCACAAATTCTCAAGGCTTGATATTGAATGGAGTCAAGTGATTTCTTTATACTTTGAGCCGCACTGTCATAGGCTTCACAACCAAAATCTAATAACGATCTTATCAATGCTCTATATACCATTAGCAGGGATTTCGAGGAGCTTCCCCATGTAGTCCCAGTAAGGCACCTAAGAATGTTCAGTTTCTTTTTACATCTAAGGACTACGGCATCTATGTGCGTCTTCCATGAAAGTCTTTTGTCAAATATAAGTCCTAGGAAATGCTTCTTTGATTGGAATAAAAGTGCGTCGTTGTTTAATTTCAGTTCTGGGTATTTTGCTTTATTGTTTTTAGTAAATAACACTGGAAAGGATTTACTCTGTGAAAGGCGAAAGCCCCATTTAGTAAACCATTCACTCAATGTGTTCAGATAGCACTGTATTCTGTTTGAAATAATTTCTATGTTATTACCTGACATCCAGATGACACAGTCATCAGCATAAATAGATGTGGTGATTAATTCATCTGTTGGAATATCACTCATCATGATATTATACAATATAGGACTTAAGACACTCCCCTGGGGGAGGCTGTTGTACATTTCATATAATTTTGATTCTTCTTTACCAATCTTTACTTGGAAAGTCCGCTCTTTCAGATAGTTATAGAGAAACTCGAGCATATTACCTGTAATACCATGTACTGATAGTTTGTAAATAAGGCCTTTGATACAAAGTCTGTCATATGCCTTTTCAATATCGAGAAAGATTGCTAAAGTATATTCACCAACATTAATGCTTCTTTGGATGGCATTCTCTAAAAGTACAATGTTATCCGTGACCCCACGTTTACTACGAAAGCCAGTCATGAGGGGAGGAAGTATATTGTTCTTTTCTACATACCATTGGAGTCTATTCTTCACAATCCGTTCTAGTATCTTGGCAAAACATGAGGAAAGTGCTATGGGTCGGTACGACGATACCTTTCGGGGGTCTTTATTCTGTTTTAACACAGGTATTAGGATAGAGTGTTTCAGACTGGGAGGTATGCTACCCGTATCCCATATCAAGTTCATGACCTTTAGCATATATTGTTTTGCTTTCTGAGGAAGTTTTTGGTAAACCTGATAAGGGATCTTGTCTTTTCCAGGAGCTGATTGTTTACATGTGTTTAGAGTTTTTTGCAATTCAAAAAGAGTGAATGGTTCATTCAAGATATGCTCCATTCCCCGCTTCAGTGATTTCGTGACTTGTTGCTCAACATTTTTGTTTTCTTTTATTTCTGGACATTCTTTAACATTACTAATTGATTGGAAGAACTTAGAGAAAGCCTCAGTCTTTTCACTGTTACATGTGATTTCTTTTTCATTTTCTATCAGGACTGACATGTTTTTTGTTTTTTTGACAGATACCCCCTTTAACCGTTTAATGGTAGACCATACCGCTGATTCTGGTACAAAGCGGTTGAGTCTTGAGCAAAATTCTTGCCAGTAATTTCGTTCTGCTTGGCGTAGAGTTTTTTGTACCTCTGATTTTTTCTTCAAATATGTATTTAGATTTTCTATTGAAATGTGTCTTTTTAATCTATTATTAGCCCTGTTTCTTTCTTTGATACTTTGTGTACAGTCTTTTGTCCACCAAGGTACAGGGTCATGTTTTTTCTTTCCCCTCTGGGGCATTATTTCTTTAATAGTCTCTGACAAACTTTTCATAAAACATTTATACATTTTCGTAGGGTCGGAATAGTTGCCACTATGTTCAATTTTATGTTCACATTTTTCGGCAAAAGTGTTCCAATCAAAATTTTTAAAAGACCAAGTTGTTTCCTCATTTATCTTCTCGCTGTTGCTGTTTACTTTCCCTGCTCGGTCCAATAATATCTGGGTGGAGATGGGAAAATGGTCACTACCAAGGGTGTGCCGCAAAACTTCCCACGAGCATAGGCAAGATAGTTTGGGGGAGGTGATGCTAAGATCCAAACATGACATTTTCCCAGTGTGTGGATCTATTCTGGTTCCTCTTCCGTCGTTTAAAATTATAAAGTTATTGTCATGTGTGAAATTTTCAATTGTGTGCCCATTTTGGTCTATCTTTGCACTACCCCACACAGGATTATGTGAGTTGAAATCCCCAACTATAAGGAATAGATTGTATTCTAGTTTGTTAATCATCCTGTTCAAAACAATCTCGTTTAATTTTTTGCAAGGGTTATAGAAATTGATTATGGAGATTTTTGATCCAGCAACATGAACTTTAATATGTTGTATTTCGAATTCTTCGTCATTGACAGGATATTCATAGTTGATGGAATCATGTACATAAATGGCACACCCTCCTTTAGATTGATTTTCCCTGTTTCTAATAAAACATGTATATTCAGGGATTTGCAATATTCTATCATCATTGAACCATGTTTCCTGAACACAAATTAAATGGTACTTTACATCTTTATATGAATCTAAGTATTTTATAAGTTCAGGACCGTGATTAAGAAGTCCCTGCGCGTTCCATTGTAATATGGTTAGCGCTGTCATCATCATTACTATGCTATACCAGTACATCTTTAGCGTCATGTTTTACTCTTTGTTTGAGCAGTCTCTCAGCTGCCACTTTCACTAAGGATGAAATCTCCTTCTCGGATTTTCCATCCGTAAAAGTGAGAACAAGTTGCGTAATGAAAGAGATTATTTGCTCATCACTCATTAATGTTACTAGGTTACCTCGAGGGAGGGCTTCTAGTTTTACTTCAGTTTTTCCATCCTTATCTATTAATTTACTGCTCTGTGCGTTTTTTTGCAGCGGGGTGTTCCAGGGCTGGGGATCAAGTTGCGGGGTGGCGTTTTCAGGGCGGATTGCTGTGGATGACCTCACTGGTCGGGGAGGAAGAGGGAGGTTATCTGAGTTGACATCGAGGGAGGGATGTGATTCAGGGAGGTTGGCTTGTGGTTTCTGCTGTGCTTTTTCTTGCTCCGACTGTATTTTTGCAGCTTGTGCGTATGAAAGATTGTTTTTGACTTTTACTATTTGTATCTTTTTGGCTTTCTTAGCTTCAAGACAGCCGTCAAAGGCTGCTGAATGGTTCCCACCACAATTTATACATATCGGTCTTTCTTTTCGGTTACATTCCTCAAATTTGTGGTCTTCCCCGCATCTGACGCATCTCATCTTTGCTTTGCATTGAGCTATGCCGTGGCCGTAGCGTTGGCATTGAAAGCACCTCAAAACGGGGGGAATGTATAGTTTAACCTCAAAATGTTGATAGCACATTGTTATGTTGCTGGGGAGGTTTGTACGGTTGAATGCTATAATAACACTCCTCATTGGGATAAAATTGGGTCTGCTTTCTTCAATTTCAATTGATTTTACATTTGATTTGGACCTTTTCATGATTCTTTTTACATCAATTACTCCTTGGTGTTTCAATTCATTGAGAATTTCGTCATCAGTCATTTCTGTAGGTACTCCATATATGACCCCTCTCACAACTTGCTGCTTTTCTGCAACTTTTACTGGGGTGGTTCCTATGTTACTAATTTGAGATAGTGCTTTTACTTGTTTCTGGTTTTTGCATTTGATAAGGAGACCTTGGGCTGTGGGTTTGATAAATTCCACAGGGTTTGGACAAGCTTCACGGATATTTCTAGCTATAGTAATGGGATTCACATTCTTTAGCGATTTTGATTTATCTATGGGGGTAATTAAGACTTTGAGTTCCGATTGGCGGTTCTGGGTTGTATTTTGGTCTTCTGAGGAAGAGGATTCTGTTCTCATTGAAAGATTTTCAATTGCAATGCTTCCTTCGCGCCTGCGTTTATTTCTCGGTTTTTGCTCCCTACGAGAGTAATTTACAGTTCGAAATTCATCTTCTTCATTGGGTTGTAAAAGAGGTGGCTCTTCGCCCTGGCCGGTGTTTGTCACTCCGGCCATGACCTGGTTGGTTGCCTGAAAAGGGCGGGAAATTCAATTGTGTGCAGTCTACCGTGTAATTAAGGGTGCGGTATGTGTTAGTAGCCCACAAGACTTGCTTACCTTTTGACTCTGATCCTAAGTATAGGCCTGTATGAATCCACTATAGTTTCAATCCAAAGTTCAACAGTATAAAGAAGCAAAACAGTCCCAACTATATCCGGTATTGAGGCAATTTTTAACAATATTGGCAAAATTCTACAAGAAATCTACAAGAAATCTACAAGCTCCTAGAGAGCTTCTGAAAAGCACGTCCGCTCGTCCGCTCGGACTCGGACATAAATCCAGTAGGTAGCTGGGCTAGGCTTCTCTCAAGGCACAAGATTTTGTTGATAAAGTGTCAAATTAGGGTCTGTGCTTGCAGACTACATCGTACTAGTGCACGTTGACGCTCGATCCCGATCAGCTGTATCGTATCGTCATTCGGCGATTATGCATGATGATGTAAACTTGGCCGCTTCCACCACGTTGAAAACACCACCATTCGATGACGCTTACTCCAAAAATTTCGGTTATGTGTATACAAAACAGGCAGCAGAAACGATAAAGGAACAGCATGAATTGGATAAAAACACTGCGCTTTGTTTCCCTGAAAACGTTCATACAGTAAGTAAGTAAGAGCTGTATGCCCGTAAAATGAATTCGTATTCTGTTCTTGCCATTGTCTGATTGTCGCCGCCAGGGGTTTAGGCGGGTTGCCCTCTCAGACTCCCGTTATCTTTCCGACGCGTATACTTCGTGGATGATGATGCTGCTGATTTCGATGATGATAATGATGTTGATGATGATGATGTTCATCATGTTGATGATAATAATGATGATTGGTGATGATGTTGATGATGATTGGTTATAATGGTGATGATTGATGATGATGATTGATGATAATGATGATTAATTGTTGATGATGATTGATGATGATGCTAATAATGATGATGATTGATGATGATGTTCATCATGTTGATGATAATGATGATGATTGGTGGTGATGTTGGTGATGATGGTGATGATTGATGATGATGGTGATGATGAATGATGGTGATGATTGATGATGATGATGTTGATGTTGATGTTGATGTTGATGTTGATGAAGATGGTGATGATGTTGATGGTGATGATTGATGATGATTGGTGATGATGTTCATTATGTTGATGATAATGATGATGATTGGTGATGATGTTGGTGATGATATGGTGATGATTGATGATGATGGTGATGATGAATGATGGTGATGATTGATGATGATGATGTTGATGATGATGATGTTGATGTGGATGATGATGTTGATGTTGATGTTGATGATGGTGATGATTGATGATGTTGATGGTGATGATTGTTGATGATGTTCATCATGTTGATGATAATGATGATGATTGGTGATGATGTTGGTGATGATGGTGATGATTGATGATGATGGTGATGATGAATAATGGTGATGATTGATGATGATGATGTTGATGTTGATGATGATGTTGATGATGATGTTGATGTTGATGTTGATGATGTTGATATTGATGATGATGTTGATATTGATGTTGATGTTGATGATGATGGTGATGTTGATGATGATGTTGATGTTGACGTTGATGATGATGGTGATGATTGATGATGTTGATGGTGATGATTGATGATGATGGCGATGATGAATGATGGTGATGATTGATGATGATGATGAATGATGATGATGATGATGTTGATGATGTTGATGTTGATGATGATGATGAATGATGTTGATGATGGTGATGATTGATGATGTTGATGGTGATGATTGATGATGATGATGGTGATGATTGATGATGATGATGGTGATGATTGCCCGGGGGGGGGGGGGGGGGGGTACTCAGATTATAGTCGGACGGGGGTGTGCGGCTGAGACCTCCGAACCCATACCCACATCCAAGGGTCCTTTTGCTGAAATAGGTACCCATGTCTAAGGATTTTTTGTCAAAAATGGACCCATGTCTAAGGATTTCAAACTTCAAATATTACATTTTTTAAGCTGTAATAATACACTCCAGCAAAGCATATGGAGAGTCAACGCTAATGCATATTGACCTCTAGCACTGCAATACGCGTTAATAGGCAGCATTTAAATACATGAATAGTCAATACACTCATAACACAGAGATGCACACATTCATGCCGATGCGGCTGATCGGCAAGTTCGACAGTGGACTCACAATTTGATTTTTTGAATTATTCTTTCTAACATTGGAAAGTTAAAAAATGTATATTACTGCTATTTAGATCTTATTGATTGTCACTAAAGTATTGATTTTTAGTGAAATTGGTTGAGTTTTACACAGTGGTGTTTGAAATGTTGAGAATCAATACTAATAGCACAGCTTTTAATACACAGCCAGGATAGTAATGCACCTATGTGTGTAATAATACAATGGCCAATAATTTTGCAGTTTCTCGATAAAGTTCTTTATTAGTAAACTGTACCATACTACATGTAGTTTACAAGTAGTTTACACACATAAAGATGAAAACACCATGCAACATAATAATACTGTGCTAGCACCTCTAGCATCTGTTTTAATTGAAGGACTTTTCCTGTTAACGTACCCGTACACGAGCTCTCAAGCATTGGCTATATAGCTCCCTGCTTGAGCCCCGCTGCTGCCCGGCTGCTGGGCAGAGGGTACGCAGGGTATAGCTGCCGATCATTCAGCGTGCGAAGCGCTACAAGTTTCCGGGGGTACGACCCCTATACGGGCGGATACCCTACCTAGCGCGCATTATGCCATATGAGTACCCGGTATAGAGCCCATGGGGTCCTGATATATGTGGTACCCCGGGATCTAGTTGAGTTTACGAGCTACGTACGTACACCCATTGACTTAGAGGTCAGTGCGTACACCTCGTACACTGGAAATGCAATCACCGAATTCGAAGGGTCCATTTATTTAGAGATGGGAGAGATTTAGGCATTTTCAATGTAGGAGCCAATCCCAAAATCCAGGAGAAAATGAGGGAGAAAAGAGGGGAAAGGAATAAATGAAAAAAGGGACCCATGTCTAAGGATTTTTCTTAATTAAAAGGGGACCCATGTCTAAGGATCTTTCCTGAAAAAGTCACCCTTCCGAGCGGCACATTTCCCGTATACGTGAGTACCCCCCCCCCCCCCCCCCCCCCCCCGGGATGATTGATGATGGTGATGATTGATGATGTTGATGGTGATGATTGATGATGATGTTGATGATGAATGATGATGATGTTGATGTTGATGTTGATGATGATGGCGATGATGAATGATGATGATGTTGATGTTGATGATGATGATGATGATGATGATGAATGATGTTGATGATGGTGATGATGATGTTGATGATGTTGATGGTGATGATTGATGATGATGTTGATGATGAATGATGATGATGTTGATGTTGATGTTGATGATGATGGCGATGATGAATGATGAATGATGTTGATGATTGATGATGATGATGTTGATGTTAATGATGATGTTGATGATGTTGATGATTGATGATGATGATGAATGATGTTGATGATGGTGATGATTGATGATGATGATGGTTATGATGAATGATGTTGATGATGATTGATGATGATGTTGATAATGAATGATGATGATGTTGATGATGTTCATCATTATGATGATGATTGATGGTGATGTTGATGTTGATGTTGATGATGATGGTGATGATTGATGATGATGGTGATGATGAATGATGTTGATGATTGATGATGATGATGAATGATGATGAGGTTGATGATGTTGATGATGTTGATGTTGATGATGATGGTGATGATAATGATGCTGCATGATGATGGTGATGATGATTAAATTGTTTGATGATGATGGTGATATATGACCAGGAATTGAGATGGTGATGATGATCAGGATAGTGATGATGGTGATGGTGATCATGATTATGGTGGTTGTGTTGATGATGATAATGATGAAGGAAATTTTCAAGCTACGATGCTCACTCAAGTACTTCAAAATACAATAGATTTTGGGGTCTTGGTGTTTTGTCCATGGACAAGCTTGATTCATCTGAAGATCAATGGTTCTCTTTACAGCTATCGATAGATGCAAGCATATAATCTTATGGGAGGAAGCACAACCTAGCCACGGTGGAAAGATTAAGTATGATGGCATATCATTCATCCACCTCAACAAGAACATGTATGAGTGTGAATATGCCAAAGATCACAAGTTGAAATCCAAGGTGAAAGCTAAGGAAGCAAGAGCTGAAAAGAGGGTAAGTATATCCAACTTTATTGTAGCATTCAAGATACTGTGGCGTAACAGGGCTCTGCTGGGGTAGCGTTCTGCCTTGTGCAGTCTCTCAAAACCTGGTCCACGCTCTTGACAATCATTCATCAACGATCTCTCAGTGGGCTCTCACAAAAGTATATCGTGTAAGAACAACGTGGACTAGTTTTGAAGCTTCCCTGTCAACGGGGTCAACCTCGTCTTCCTCTCCTAAAGCTGACATGTGCAAGTTGGCTAGGAGCGTCCTGCTCAACCTTCGTGCTGACTTACATTCGCTTCTAACTAGGTGTCTGTAGGGCTGAAGAGATGCCACTTCGTAGGGTTCAACCTGTCCACATGAACTACCTTCAACTGTCGTACACTTGAGCAGATGTCTGCATCCGTTCCTACCCAATAGAATCTTAAGCGAACCTTATCTCTGGTCTTGTTCATGCCAAGGTATCCACTAGACTTGCCACCATGCAATTCCTTCACAACGACCTCTCGAAGCTTAGCTGATAAGACAACATTCAGTTACCCTATGTCCTTGGTCACATTCCCATTTCCTGTAGAGAACGCTTTGCTTCATTTCCAGTTGGGCTCACTTCCTTCAAGGGCTTCTCCACACTGGACTTTGAAGCCATTGCTGACCAATCCGGCCGGTCCGCAGACCGCTGCTTTGCTTCCAGGATCCAGGTCGTACTTGACAGGATCTTGCGCCTGGTCTTGGCTCATCTGCTCATTCCTGATGCTGGGTTCTATCGGAACTGTCCTTGACTGATCTGTAATTTGTAGTAAATGGTCTTACAGAAGGTGCTCCACTTAGAGACTCTGTGTCTTTCCTGAGTCTGTGTTCTTGTCCAGCCTTCTCAAGTGCTCCTGAGTCGGCCGAGTCCCGTTTCCCCAAGGCTTCTGACTATAGGTGCTATCTCTTCCTTCACTGGCGCCAATAGGCACTATTTCTTCCTTCGCCGGCGCCTATAGCATTACGTCTGACCCTCGTAGCTCGCAAACCCGAGTAAATGGCCATAAAGTCAGGTATTGAAACACCCCCTTCTTTGCTTGCTGCAGAGGAGGCCTAACCACTGATCAACTTGTTTTCCAAACATAGTTCGCGCTACTTTCCGTCTCTCTCTCTCTCTCTCTCTCCGACTCTGTTTCTTTCAGGCTGCCTCCTTCAGTCTCTCTCCCCTCTCCTTTCTATCTATCTCTCCCTTCCCTAGTTTTCTGTCTCTCCCACCTCTCTCTCCTCATGTTTATTTATGTCTGTCTCTCGATCCATTCCCCGGGTGTCCGTGTCTCTCTCTCTCTCTCTCTCCCCCTCTCTCCAAAATTTTAATTCTCTCTTCTCTCTTCTCTCTCTCTCTCTCTCTCTGGTTGGCGGCCGCTTTTCTTCTTCTTCTTCTTCGATCTTCTGTTTCTTCTTCTTCTTCTTCTTCGATCTTCTGTAATTTCTTCTTCTTAATTCTTCTTCTTCTTCTTCTTCTTCTTCTTCTTCTTCTTCTTCTTCGATCTTCTGTTTCTTCTTCTTCTTCTTCTTCTTCTTCTTCTTCTTCATCTCAGTCTATAGTGGCCTAGTCTTTTTCTCCAAGTCGAAGCGACAGTCCTCGGGTTTTTCCTGGTTGAAAAACCCCATTCATAAATTACGAGTCCTCAAACTCGGGTTTTGAAACACCCCCTTCACCCGCGCATTGATGATAACAAGAAAGTTCTCTTTACACTGCACTATTTAACGATTTTCTGTCTTGTGTCAGAAGCTTGTTATATCTTAATTGATATTAACATGTACTTTTATTATCAGTGAATACTCATGCAACGGAATGCAGCTTCTTAATGAGGACTAATTTCTGCACGGATTTTTATTAGGGGGACACTTCGTCCGCAGATGTGGACAACTCAGTGCAGTCCTGAGGTCAGTGGTGCAGTCACGTTAGGGTTAGTACCATTGACCTAGAGGTCAGTGGTTACTATGGGGTTACTATGGCGATCTGTCAATCTCTCTTCTCCCTTCCAGCAACGATCACTGGCAAAACCACATTGTTGACCTGGGGATCAGTGGTTCTTGGCAGCCTCCCAATACCTCCATCTAAGCAAGAAGCAAGGGGGTATTTCAATTTTGCTACGAGGACTTTACGTCATGGGCGCTATACCTACTACGTAGAGGCGCTATCTCTTCCTTCCAGGTGCCAATCTCCTTTAGTGCGTATGCACGTAGGCGCTGTTGGTGGAGTACGTTCCGAGCTCAGTGCTACAACCATGTTGCTTCAATCCCACCGCCGCCACCAGTGTGGCGTAACCGGGCTCTGCCGGAGTAGCTTTCTGCCTTGTGCAGTCTCTCAAAACCTTGTCCACGCTCTCGACAATCATTCATCAAAGATCTCTTATCAGTGGGCTCTCACAAAAGTATATCGTGTAAGAAAAACGTGGACAAGCTCTCAATCACTTACTCCTGCAACCACTAAATGTATGACAGGAACTCAAGAAACAACACTTGCACAGTATCTGCAGTTCAAGTAACTTAATCTCGTTCTTTGTAACGTACCTGTCGCAACGACAGCTCAACGCTGACTGACCGACATATCACGATGTACATGTATGTATTTTATAATTAACTATAACGCCCTCTACGTCTTACTGAATACTGGACCGATTATGTTACAATACTAATTATGATATAGTTGTTCTGTTTGAGTTGTTTCAAAATGGATACAAAATTCATCTATGTTAATTGCCAATAGATGTGTAGGAAGTTGTAATGGAGAATGATAACTGTTATTACTAACTAATTGAAAGAGAAGCAGATTCTCTCTTTGGTGTAAAATGATAATTTGTCCAAACAGATAATATCTGTAAAGCTATACAATACTATTATTACAAATGCATGTTTTTTCACCAGTTCCCCTCGTCTTTAATCTGATATTAAACAGTTAAGAGTTTGAAATAACTTGGTGTTCTTCTAATCTAAATCACCCCCTGTTGTTTGTTTTATCAAATGTCATACCTCACTCAATATTTAATTGTTGTGTGCCAAAAGTTAAAATGGTCACTCTATTTTCTTTAAAAGGTAGATTGTGGCCATCAGTATACTGTTGTGATGTCTTGTTATTCATTTTTTTCTTCATTTTTAGATGAGAGAACCAGCTATTGGAAATGCATACAAGCCCAGGAACCTTATATACAAGATACTAAAAAGAAAGATTGCCAGGCAAAGCTAGTCATGAAGGAAATCATGAAATTTCCAAATTTTAAGGTAAGTTATCTTATAAGGGCTTCAAGATGAGTATTCATCTAAATTTAAAAAGGGGTAGAAAATCATGATAAGAAAGCCACTTTTAAGAAGAAATAATAATGGTAAGCATCGTAAACTGAATATGATTTCAGAAGCTTTGCCGACATGCTTGACGATGCCTCCGTGTTTTTACTTCTTTCATTTGCTGTTTTTGTGTGCTTTTTTGCTGAATTAGGTTCGCTAAATCGCTTTTTTTTTTGGCCGGGGCCTTGGTCGGTTTCTTTCTATTTCTCTTTAACATACTTTTTCAAAAAATTGGGGGGGGGGGGGTAGGCTTCAGCCCTGCCATAGGGGGGCCCTGTACATTGTGTAATGGCCGGCATGATGATTTGACAGATGGACCTGAAGCTAACTGAGTCCTGACATACTTTTGAACGTTGTAACTTGTACGCCCTAGTGTACAGCGATCATCAACCGTTGTTTAAATCATATACATGTAGGCCTAATTAAAATACGAATTAGGGCTAGTCCTGACCTAAATCATATACATGTTGGCTTAATTAAAATACGAATTAGGGCTAGTCCTGACCTAAATCATATACATGTAGGCCTAATTAGAATATGAGTTAGGGCTAGTCCTGACCTGAAAATGACCAAAAACTTGGAGCACGGCTAACTGGACCGGGTCCTTGGCCTATATACGGATAAGTGAGTGCCCCGGGTCCACTTCTAACTCGTTTTTTTTAGCCCTTCTCTCCTCCCTTTTCCTTTCCTATCCTTTCCTTTTTTTAAAGAGGGGGGGGGGGGCGGGGTCCAGGGCCTGTTGGCCCCCCGTGTAAATGAGCCTGTCATACACAGTTCCAACATAAACCATATGCCACATACATGTATGATTCAGCAACTACAGCCAAGAACGAGTCCCGAGAGAGAGAAGCGACCAGGGGCCACCGCAGAGTCAGAGGGGGAGGGTTTGGGCGGGGGTATCCCTCTCACACGGTAGGGCAGATTTTGCATTTATTTACTTATAATGGTGCAATTTGGTGCATGTCCTGCCATACCTGCGAAGGAAATAAAGAATCTGAGTTAACATGTCATGATTTAAAAAAACAAAGAAAAAATGGCTATGCTCTCATCAGATTTTTACAGTTCAAACATAATCAAATAATATTTACACAAACATGACACAAATCTGCCCCTAAAATGCCATACTTTGATAACAAAAGAAGCAAAACAGAAGCCCCTTGACTAAATTGCAGGGGTGGGTTAGTCTGACATATATCAGAACACTGCTGAAATCACGCTTATGGTGCAGTGGCTGGCGGCTAGAGCGCTGTTTTGTTGATATGCTAGGCGTGGCGGCCGTGGCACGCATGGTATTGCAAACGCTCACAGAATTACCCTGGGTAACCGTAATGCATTTCACGCTCTGTTTTATATCCATAACATAGAAAACAATACTCAACTTGATGGAAGTGCTTATAAATGAATATAAAATAAATTAAAACCTCTATTATTTTAATTGTTATCATTTGTAGGCCTGGGTGTGAGATTATTAGCTCTAATTCAACCACAAAAATGACCTTTTTAAAAACTTTTTTGGTTAAAATTCTTTTTTTTAGGAGGGGGGTTCGCGTGAACCCTGCGAACCCCTAGTTTGTACAGCCATGATGATGGAGGTACATGTTGCAGGCTGGACTTTGACTAGCAGATCAGAGGTCAATGGAAGACTATCGTTACCCCCGTCTTCATCGTGTAGTGCTTCATCAGAAGAGCCTGGGCATTAGATCACACTTCTGTAGGTAGGTAGGTATCTGTTAAAGAAAGGAGTGGCATGGATCTAGAACATGGGTGAAACGACAGTAAAGATGGGGTCTTTTTCCCCAATGTACTGAAAAGATACTGCGCTGTAATAAAACTGAGAAAGCTGATATTTTCTTTTCTGTTTGGTACACACTTAAAAAGAACATATATACAACAATGATATGACACCAACAATAATAGTACAGATGTGGTGTTTTAATACTGAGTTACACAATTCACACAAGCAATGCTTGTTTACTAACACAGTGTTCTAAAATGAGTAAGCAAAATTATACTTTCCAAAGAGCTGTCAATATTCCTTTCATCACAGCACTACTCATATACAGACCACCTGAGGGAAACAAGAAAGGTGGTCTTTACAGACAGGCGGTCTTCATGTACAGGTTCCTTTAGTACATGTTTCAATGAGAAACCATTTTCAAACAAAAAACAAAACAAAAAATGTGGTCTTTGTAGACAGGTGTTCGCTAAACCAGGTTTGACTGCAGTAGGCTAAGGATGGAGTCCCTGTTTAATAGGAGGCCTGAAGACTAGATGGGAAAGTGGATGGTAACTAATGAAATGACAAGAACATTGAGGATGGGATCTATCTACCATGGTAGAAAAGCAAGATGGATAGTAACCAATGGTAACCAATGATGTGATACAAGTAGAGATGGGGTCCCTCTTCCATGGTAGGAAATCGGACTTAGAAATAGATGATTACCAAAAGTATCTACCTTCTGTGTTGCTTGATCTGGTAGAAAGGCACCTGCTGAAAGAAACGCCTACAACTTGAAAAAGCTTCTGTAACAATGTTATTCCATAATCTCTCTCCCTCACTCTTGCTCTCGATCTCCCTCTCTCTCTCACTCTCACGGGAAATAGACCAGACTTCCTTCAAGTTGTTCATTCACCAGCTTGTTACTAACAGATGATCTCTTCTCCTTCTTTATAGCCAAAGTTGAGTTCCGGGGAGAGGTGAAAAATAATTTGTGAGCATTATCATTGTTATCGTGCAAGTGTGGAAGAACATGAGAAGAAAAAAGATTCCCTGAAAAGCGTGGTTCTTCAAATGCCTCCATATTCTAAATATGACATGTAACAGCGTAAAAATCGGGACAGATTTATATTACACATGTTCATGTAGTCCCATATACATCTTTCTGTGTACAGTGCTTGGAACTTTACCAAGACTGGGTCAAATTTCTTATCATTTTGATTTTTCCAGAACCTAGCTTGCAGTACACACCAACACTTATATTCAAGATGATCAACCTTTTCTGATCGATTCCACACCGTTTCTTTCACAATGCATGACCAGAACTCAACTTTCTCTTTAATACAGAGCGGCTCATTTCACCACCAAACAACTGACAAGACAACAATGACCCGAAAAAAGAAGAGCGCCAGCCGACTTATCCCAGCTAGTTCAGCTCATCTCACAAGCAGTCATCTAGCACTGTGAAGACAGCACTGAGATAGTTCTCACCACCTGATGCAGAAAAGGCACATTGACCAAAGCAGACCAAAGCAAACATGACAGATAGCAGAGAAAGAGAAGCAAGGTTAGAAAATCAAATCAAATCTTACATAGCAAACCAAACCAAAATCAGAATAAAGGAAATATTTGGTTTGTTTTTCATTTAGTATACACTGCATTTTATTTTACTTTTTTTCTTTCATTTTCACATTTCAAGTAGAATTGTATTCTATATTTATTTTGCCTTTGCACATTTTTACATATAACATAATTGCATTTTTATTTCATTTTCATGTTTGCAAATTTAACGTAGTTATTGCTTATTTAGTAGTGTTTGATGACAGTGTAAAGCGCTTCAAAGTGTAACATTATTTTCCACCTAAAAAGGTCATGACAGTTTTCTATCATATTGCACATTTTTTTTAAATATTGCATTTTGGTAACTTTTAAAGTACATGTACTTGAAGATATGAAGTTTGAACAGTTAACCCCCATGTTCCGACAGTGATAAAGCTTTAATATTGTCTATATGAGCCTGGAAAATAGCATGATCATAATTTTCAGAGATCATGATGATTTTTATTAACTAAGTGCAGGTTCCTGGTACCATAGCATCGATCGCTCTAGGGCTGGCACAGTCTCATATGTTTACAGGATTGTGTGAATACTCCTGATAGGCCTATATTCAAAGGCATTCAACTTCTTGTATTCTTTCGCTCATATCTGCTAAAGAATATTGCTCTTAGTAGATCAGTCTAGGTGTGAAACCGTTGAGTGTGAGGATAGACCGTTATGGCCTATAATAGTTGGTAGTCTCAATTCAGCTATGTAGTGTTGCTTATATACACCACATAATGAGACCCATATCTTCTAATGTATCTGCTGTGTAGTGGGGCTCATTATACTACGGAGTAGTACTTATATCCACCACGTATAGTGGTATGGTACCCTGTTGCTACGGAGTGGTGCATATATCCGCCACGTAGTAGGTACCATATCCCCTTGAAAGTTGTCTTTATGTCCACCACTCAGAAGGACCCTTTGAGTGCCAATACGTCTCTGGCTGTAGCTGTTGTTGATGATGTTGCTATCAGCATCAAAGGATGTCAGCATTTGAGGTCTAGGATTCATACATAGTCCTCTGACTTATCTGCAAGGACAGAACTTATGTTCTTTGAAGAAAAATTTAGACATCATACGGACTGTACAGCTGAGATTGATGCAAGCCTTAGGTACCAGGATATGTGATGTTTGAGCTATAGAAATAGGCAGTTGAAATTCTCAACCTTGTGATTAAATGTCAAGTGAATCTGCCTAGCATATAGTGCCCGCATGCTAGTGTTCAATCTGTGAAAGAGTAAGTCTGATTACATTTTTGACACATGCAGTCTTTTCCAAGCATCTTTTCCGGCTAATAAAGGCCTATTTTACCTTGGAATATAGGGCTGTCACTGTTCTATCATTACTCCATGTTACATGTTCGATACGTCAGTCACTCTGACAACAGAGCATTTAGATATCAATTACAAATTTCACTACCCATACAGCCAAGAATCTGTGAGTTGAAGTCAGTTTGGCATGGTGACTGATGTTTAACATTTGAGCACAGCTTTTGTACATTTCCATTTCCATTAATAATATAGTATCATACATTTTGACACGAGACAGCTAGAGACAGTTGTGAAGCTTTTGTACCATTTACATTTACATTAATATTGTACATACTGACATGAGATAGAGACAGTGGTGATCAAAGCACGGGACTAGCCACCAAGGGGCCACTGTCATCATTGGGAGGCACCAGTCTTATCAAGTTGTTGAAATGTGAATTTACAAGGCCAAACAATTTGAGAGAGTATGTGGTAGTTTTTATCTTCTTTTTATTACTATCTTTCCCACCTGTCCCTTTTATTTTTCCCCTTTTTCTCATTTTATCCTTTTCTTTTCATCTTTCAACATTTGATTCGGTGGTATTTGCCCCCCTGACCCCGTATAGCTGCACCACTGCCTGGTGTGTATTATGATACATGTATTAGGCAACATGAAATATGTAATACAGAGAAGCCACTTCATATGCACCTTCATCTTAGCTATTATCGTACAGTATTATGTCAGTTATTTTGGTAATAATAATATTAATTATATACTTATATGGCGCACAAATCTATCAAAGAGGTATCCTTGCTTTACAATTAATGACAAAACAAGCATGAACAATTGATTAGTGCAAAAATTAACAAACCTACAATTTAGGAAAGAGAGAAGCAACAATTGGCAAATAAAGAAATATACAGAAAATATAAAGGATCAAATAACTATCATGGCATTAATGATACACTCTCTTCATCAGCATGGTTTTCAAAAGCTTCTGGCTGATTGAGATGATTTCAAGTTCATGTACAGTACAGTTCAGACTCCAGAATCATAAATGTTGTCATTTATAATATGATAATAGACAGCCCTTAAGGATTATCAAAGATACAATATTCAGGCAACCGTCACCTCATACTCCGTACGCCTATGTACCAGAACCCAAAATTCATTAAACAGTAGCACGTTCTCATAATGCAATCAAATTTAATGCATAAGTCTTTCTTAAATTAGTTGTTGCTAGGTAGGACAAACATTGCTCATTTTACCTAACAACATGTACTGTATGCAGTTTGTATTCTGACTATTGAAATACAATTATTTGTAAGAGGTGAATGAAATAATTATTAATGTCGCATTTCACGAAGACATATATGCATTATATTTGATTACATTACGAAAAATACCCCATGACAAATCAGTGGTGAATATTCACATTTCGAAACATCAGTTACAAGACAATAAGAATTGATTATAAACAAGAGATGAAGAGTTCACAAATGAAGGCCTCTATTCAATTGAATGGGTGCTTCTTTTGTGATTACTATTGCATCCACCTGCTAGTAGCAATTTCTTTCAATAAGGGAGTTTACAGAAAGCACATGGTACAAATGACCCCAAATATCCACAGATATTTTACAAACGGAGAAGTTCCACTTTGAGCATATTAGAATAATAACTGCCAAAGTCCTAGATGTGCTTCATGAATACCTTTTGTTTGCCCTCTTGAAAAGAATACTTCCACCTGCTTGTCATAGAATGTACCGTTGGTGCATAAATGAATAATGTTACATAACTTTCATGAGCACATATCCAGTATTCATCTCGAGTTTTACCTTTTTGGTACAAATGACCTTTATCTGCCCATGCGCAGATTGTATCTGTAAACTCTCTTATAGCCTGGTAAGAATCGAATTTGCATATTGTTGGTATGTAAGACAAGGCGCTGCCTAGCATGAGCTACCACTTGGAATCAATGGAGCAAAGGCATGTAACAAATTCAAGTACATTTGTAACCTGTCCTCATACAACTCATACATTGTATTTCTATAGCGCTTAATACAATGTTTCTAAGCGCTTTACAAAATTGGCAATACTTAGATGATAATACATTCAATATAATATTTACAAACTATAATTAATATATATACTAATCAACCTACAATAAATTCAAAAAACATAAGCACAGATACATCAAGTCAATACATATAAATACAATAGAATACAATTAATTTTAGGCCTAAACATTACAAACTCAAGTTTAAGCGAGTTCGTAAATAGCTCTGGAACGCATGTCCCCAAAATATCCATAGATCTTTGACACGATGGATACTTCCCACGTGTGCATTTTAGAATTATCACTGCCGAAGTGATGGAGGTGCTTCATGAATACCTTTTGTTTGCCTCTGGAGAATAATACTTCCACCTGTGTATCAGATAAATGTACTGTTGGTGCATAAATGAATACTGATGACATAACTTATATGAGCACGATCGAGTATTCGTCTCAATGGTTTTACAATTTGGGTACGAATGACCTTGATCTGCCCATTCGCAAATTCTAATTACGAACTCGCTTATTACATTACATCATACAACCCATTGTTTCAGCAGTAAGGTAGGTCTGACAGCAGGTGCAACACCAGGATTGTCTGAAAGGAGGAGAGCGGTAACAGTTTTTCTTCAACATGACCTCGCTTCAAGGAAAATGAATTCAAGAATTCAGACAATCTGAAACAGGAGGGGTGTTTTTACCCTTAAAATAGCTGGCTATTGTTGTTTTGCTTTGTTTTCTGCTCAATGGGGAGGGGGAGGCAGCAGTCATTTAAGTCCTCACTCCACCTGTCCCCCACCCCCCCTCCCCCAACAAAACAACAACAAAAAATCTACAAAAAAAAATCCAAAAAAAAATCCAAAAAAAAAAAATCACCTAAAAACAAAATAATAATAATAATAATAATAATACATAATAATAATAATAAATAAATTTAAAAAATAATAATAATAATAATAATAATAAATACCAAAAAAAATAAAAAATCACCTATATACCATTAAATATGTGCCTGTATAACAGAATTAACCCTGTAAGTCATGCTAAAGGACAGTGCACCTGGGTATGGGGTTTCAATGCAAATGATTGCTGTCAAAGGAGCAATATAGCTCTGGGGTCGTATTCTTTTTCCTTACAAATCAGAATTCTAGGGAAGAGACACTTATTGTTGGTGCTTGCACAGATATCTGTACATGCACACAGCTAGTTTGCACAAAAATTAACAAATGACTTGTTCTAACTACTTCTTGTAACTATGACACATAAAAGATTACATAGTCTTCAGAATACTACCCATGATTATAACCATTTGGTTATTTTCTTCCATTTAATAGAAATGTTACTTCTCTAACATTGCATCTGTAAGATGTCATAAGTGATGCTTATCATGGCCAACAAATAACGTGTAAAACTCATGTTTTTTTACCCTTTATTGGTCGAAAACATAACTCAAGTGAAAGAGTTGTAGTTTTGGTTATTTTGGTACGTACAATAACCATTTCTTTAGCTTTAGCTATGGGCTTTGGGAAGAACAGGTCATCCATTTAAATTTCAAACTCGCAATGAAGCTTTTCAGTAGCTGGTAACAAATTAAACACACTTTTACAATGTACAATGTAATTAATTGCTATCAAGGAGGAATTGATGCTATGTCCATAAGA